TAGCATACCGAGTCAGAATAGTTTGGAGGTGTGGTGTGAGTTTGGTGGTAATAGTTTGAAAGTTCAAGGAGGAGATAGATTTTGATTTTTAGAGTCAGAAGAAGAATAATAATAATAAGTTTAGAAAGGATAACAGTAGTCTGGCTTTGACAAGCCAGCCTAATAAGTTTATATAGCATATCAGTAGTCTGGCTTTGACAAGCCAGCCTAATAATAAGTTTAAATAGCATTTCAGTAGTCTGGCTTTGACAAGCCAGCCTAACTAGACAGTAAAGTTCGTCGAGACAAACTTTGAGGCTGGCTTGACAAAGCCTGTTGGTAATAGTTTATTTAGTTTAAAAACAGTTTGAAAAAGTATAAGTAGCATGTTATTAGCCTGATTCTAGCATGGATTAGCATGTTATTAGCATGTTATTAGTATGATTCTAGCATGGATTAGCATGTTATTAGCATGAATTAGCATGATTCTAGCACAAATTAGTATGTTACTAGCATGCTTCTAGCATGAATTAGTGTGTTATTAGCATGATTGTAGTAAAATTAGCATGAATTAGCATGATTCTAGCATGAATTATCATGTTATTAGCATAAATCTAGTACAAATTAGCATGTTACTAGTGTGACACTAAATGATTAGTCACATGTATATATATATATATATATATATATATATATATATATATATATATATATATATATATATATATATATATATATATATATATATGCATATGAATATCTTTCCTTATAATTATATATAATGATATAAATTATAAAAAGGAATCCTATTGTACATTTAGTGTTGCATTTATTTGAATTACTTTAAGTGGAGAATATGAGTGGGATGGTTTGTTGTCTTGGGTTGTCATTAGACAGCAACTCCACTATGAAGAGCAACAAAACTATGACTGTCTCATCATTCTCATCTTTTAGTTGGGTTAATCCTGTCATTGAAATGCCAAGATAACATGTTATTCAAGTGTCTTAACAGGTTTACTGAGGTATTGTGCAGTTAAAAGGGTACTTTGTAGCGAAGATTGTATCAGTTTGCTTACATTGTATCGAAACAGCCACCAGCGGCCGGATGTGTCATTTGGTAGCTGCAAAGTTTATAATAGGAGCTCCACCTCGCTTAAATTCAATTTAAATGTTATACTCTTGTATTAAAGTTGTTGAAAAAGAGTATTGATGACAATTCCAGCAGTATAAATGCACTTTTAATCAAAGATGACAGTTGCACTCAATGACTGTAACAGATTTGTTTACATTTGAGTTGCTCAGAGCCAGCCCATATATGCAGAGAAGATGTATTATACTGTGTCAAAGATGTTAAATGCTTAAATGGACACCATGCAAAATGTTAAATACAAAGCATGCTATAACAATTTGATATAGTAAATATAGGTTATGGAGACTAAGTAATAACTTATATGTGAATAATATGTTCATGAATGAACTATTTTTATGTATAATGCATATTTTATGAGACAAGAAAAGGATTTATTGTGCATAAAACACTGTTTAATGATATTGTATGGATAATTATTAAAAGATTTTTAGGATTATAATATATATGTATATTTAATTTGCTTGTGTGTGTGTGTGTGTGTGTGTGTGTGTGTGTGTGTGTGTGTGTGTGTGTGTGTGTGTGTGTGTTTGGTAATAAGAATATTAATAATAAGCATATGCAGAGATGTCAGGTGCGTTCGACTTCATGCAGCGCTGCGCAGATCGATCGAAATCTGTCTTAAAGCGGTGCATTCTGGTTAGAAATCTTGTCCGGATTGATGCTGCGCCGACGCCATGTGACTGTCACATGTGGCATCAAAGTACCGCGACAGCGCTCCGAGATCAGACGGCAAACTCAGACCGTGCAGCTTCTGAAGAGCGACTGCAGGAGCTCTGATGATGACACTGATATTACACGATTGGCCAAGTTCACCACATGACAACAAACACGTGTATTTCGGGTTTATAATTGGACAAATTCTGATTCAAAAGTTTCAAAACAAACAATTCACTTTTCACACCGTCTCTATCCTGTACACATCTTGCTTATTAAAAGACAGCAAATATTTTACTGCAGTAATCATCTTTTGTTAAATAATCTGGTTATAAAGGTTAGCTTGTTTGCACAGGTTTATTTTTTAACTTTTTTATAGAGACTATTTACTGCATTCATCTCCATGAACGATTTAAATGATATATTTTAGTGTATATTTTAGTGAATAACCTAAATAAGTCTTACAGACTTGAAATAAAATAATCATCATCATTGATCCTGCCACCCTAAAGCTCTCTTAACAAATTAAGTTAAAGAACTATTTTATTAAATAATTATAAAATGGTTTTATTATTATAATATAAATATATATTTTATTTCCTGTCTAGCAGTTTAAAGGCTACTTGCTCTTTCTGGGAAACTTCTACATAGCTCCATTATTTTACCTTTTGTTCTTTTCAACACGATTTTTTTTGGATTAAAATGCTTTTTTGAAAATTCATTCATTATCCAAAATAATCTCATTTATTAAGACCTCATCAAAACACCTTGTTTTGCTTTTTACATTGGACATTTTTATATCTATAAATGTACATATATGTAAACCCTTTTTTTTAGCATATTCAAACAAGAAGTATTAGCCTAAAGATTGATGTTTAACTCCTAGTATTTATGCTTATTGCTTTGTATTTAATAGACCTGTTCGTTTTTATGTTTATATTAACCTCTCATTTTCTCTTATTTCTCTCTAGCATTTGTTATATATTTTAGTCATAAATCTCTCTTATTGTTTTAAAAGGAACTACAGTTTGTAGAGACTGTATTCTGTTTTATTTGTAAATGTTTTGTTGTTATAAATAAAAATAACAAAAAAATATGATGACGCCATGTGATCGGTCATCATGACACCAGCAACTTTAAGTCCCGAAGTGTCCAGCTGTCCGTCTTGACGGCTCCGTTTTCAACTCCGCCCCCACCTGCGCTCGGCTAATCTCGTTGATCACCGGCTGCAGCTGAACTTCATGTCGAACGCACCTCTTAATTCTTTAATCGCTCTCGCGGTACTTTGAAATCACGCACCGATTGCCAAGAGCACGTGGCTATCCTTGTCGCGTGCCTCTCCGCGTGAAGTTGACAAGGCGTGGATGATGCTTTTTTTATCATGGCGGTGCACGTTAAATATGGAAACGTCGAACAGGTATGAAAGTTAGAAATGATGCATGCCTTTCTGTGTGCATAAAGTGATGAACTGATCATTTGATGCTGTATACGCATGTACAAAACTCGCAGAATGTTTAGCAGCAAAGTTAAGTGCATGGAGTAGGTCAGTGATGGCAGTCTGAAAATTGATTTTTTTTTTTTTTCGAACAAAATTTTAATGTCACAATCCACTTGTGATAGTTTATATCCAGTCTGGTACCTTTATGTACTCTTTAGCAAGCAAAATTTTATAAAGGAAGCAAAATAGTGCGAAAAAATGCATCAGATTTGCCTAATCAAAGAAAATAACATTTATCAAAACATGAATACATGTAATATTTTAATATTATGAGGACAAAGTCATTTATTATTATTTATTGTTATTATTTTAGTTATTTTTGGTAGGATTATAATAAATCACAACCGATTGTTCGTCGCCCGCTGATTAACAACTTAATTTTTTTTTTTTATTAATCCAAAAGTTGTAAAGATGGATAGAGAGATCGTCTCTCCTGTCATTTAAAACGCGTGCATGGAGGCATTTGGCTTCCATTTAAAATATAATGTTAACAGAGGTTGTGGGTGCACAAGATAAGCAATAAAACCAGTGTTGAAACATACCTTACCAGCATATGCTATTTTTCAGCTGCGGTATAGTTCGGATATAAACACAGACGTTTGTTATGCAAAGCAGTTGTAACAGTTACATTGTCTAACCAAAAGATAGCAACAGCCATCAAAAAGTTCACTCAATAGTTCTTGAAAAGTTAGACATCTAGTATTGAAACAAAGTTTAAGTTATTGAATCATTAGTTGAAAATGAAAATGTGTTGTCCAAAATTGCTAAATGTAAAAAGTCTACGCTTCAACTACTTCAACAGTAGCAAAGATAATTTTTCACAGTATTGAATTTTTTTTTATTCAACAGACCATTTATTGTTTCATGTTTATTAAAATTACATGTTCTATGCTAAAATCAGAAGTTTCTTGCAGTAATTATTTTATAATGGAAGGCAAATTATTATACCTTTTTATTAAATGCAAAACTATTATTAATCTTGTTGCTGCTGTTTTTAGTAGTAGTATAATTGCTGATTTCAAATACATGCTTTTAAGACTTTGCAATAGTGATGGAGTACACAACACTTTTTTTAAAAATTTTGATTAAAATAAATTTGTTTTTTATACCATGTACAGTGGATACAATGAAATAATAACAGATAACAAAGGCTTAAATTAAACTTCAAAAGAAACAAAAAAGATATATTTATTTTTTATATAATTAAGTAAACTTAATATCAAAACAAGTAAAATAAAATAACACCTATGAACCTGCTTTAATATCTATAACGCTACAATTAAGGTGTTTGATAATTAGGTGCAATGGGAGCCTAGCAATAAGGTACTCTGCATTTCCTGGGGAGATGTGTTGATGTTTTGTTTTTTGGTTTTATTGACAGGTTCTTTAAAGACACTTGAGTTTCTGTTTGTAAATAATAGTGGAATAGCTTTTCTCACAAAAAAATGACAAAATAGTTTTAATAAGTTCCTGTCTTTAAAATGATTTTACTAAGATGACATCCTTAATACGTATGAAACCAAGTGTGAAGATTGGGATGGCTCAATACCATAATTTTGGATTTGGATACCAGAATGACTCAAAATCGATACTAATTCGATAACATCAATTTTATATTTAACTATTTATTAGCGTAGTGTTAACATTATTCTAGCATAAATTTGTATGTTTTTAGCCTAACTTAAGACGTTAAATTTGAAATGGGGCAATAGTGGGTAATGATAGACAAGACAACACTTTTTGTAAAACACATTTCATGTTTTACTTGTGAACTTACTAAACTGTACAATTAATAAAGTAGAACAGAAGTAGAACAGAACAGAAGTAGAAAAGATTGACTAGTGATTATTAAAAAAACAAAACAAAAAAAAAAAAACATTGTAAAGTTAAATAAAATTACTCAGAAACTTCACTAATTTGAAACACACGCCTGTTGACATGCTTTAAGGACAAATGCAGTGGGAGCCTGGCAATAAGGTCATCAGGGTTTCCTGCAAAAACGATCTGAGGAACCACATATACTTGACTGTCACTTCCGAGGAAGTGGCAAGTGTGATTGACGTTGGACACCCCGATCACTTCAACGACCGTTTCTTGCATCTGGCCTTCTGCGATCTAGGTATGTAAAAAAAAATATGTATATAAGTTTCAATGTACCAACACTGTCTCAGTTTGTTGTAATATAGAAATGTTTTACATGTACCTCCACAGTTGTGTAGTTTGAAGAATGGAACTTTCCAGTTCCTGTTTCCTGGACGCAGGGACGTAGGTGGGTGATGAGGACCTCATCACCAACAAAAAGCTCAGTCAAAGCTGCCTCCCTCCACAGTGAAACACTGAAGGTCCCCTCCAGGCATTTTATTTTTAGGTCCACTATTGGCACTCTTGCCCTTGTCATCCTCACCCCATGGAACTGCAAAAGAGCAATTTACGGGTGAGTGTAGTAGCATTTCCCATGTATGTTTCTTCTGTTTCTCAACACTGCATAATATGGATATTTATTTGATTCACCCATATTTTAGTCAATTAACCTTAGTAATTCCCCATATAATAGCCCGTTTCCACTGACTGGTATGGCTCGCTTTGATAAGCTTTTATAGCAGTTTCCACTGTTAAAAGGCGTACCGTACCAAACCGTATCGTACCACTTTTTCGGCACCCTTTCGAAAGGGTACCAAACATGAGAAAGGGTACCAAAAGGCAGAGCTAGATGTGCAGCTGAACACTATTAGTTTACAGAGATACCTCATTTGCTTGAATGAATGAAAATAAAAAAAGCCACCATGTTTAAAATACACAGCCGAGAGATCTTTTACAGCGTATATATATATATATATATATATATATATATATATATATATATATATATATATATATATATATATATATATATATATATATATATATAGAGGGCTCGAAATTTCGACCATTTTGATTGCATATGCGACCAAAATTTTATCTATGCGACCTTAATATATTTAGGAGCATTTTTGCGAGTGCTTAAAATTGTTGTGTGCGACCAGTTTTTACTGCAAAATGTTCATCACGTGCGCGAATTCGGGAGACATGCATGAAGAATGCATCTCTGCACTTGAAATGCGAAACGCAGTGCTCAGGAATGGTTTAAAAATGTTTTATTGTCATGTAAACTTGCTGCAGTAAACAAACGTGAGAGTGAAGTGAAAAAAAAAAGGACAAGGCGGAAAAAGTGAGAACATTACTTTTTTTCAGCAAATGTGAACAAACTGCCATGTTTAACTATTATATCACCTTTTGGACTAATATGAACTCAGAATGATGGAATTTCTCTCTAGCAGAGCCTACATGTGCTACTGAAGATTACAGACACCGATGAGAGGTTAGCACTGACTGTAGGCTATATTTTATGGCGTTTTGAACCTAAATAAGCACAATGTATGCTGTGTGTAGTTCTTCTGTAGTTGGGAACATATCGGAGACTGTAAGGGGCTGTATGTGTTCATATAATTACAGACGTCACTGTCATTGATCTGCAGTTATAATCAATTCATGTTTATAGAAAAGTTAGTAATATACATTTATACAGAAGTATTTGTGTATGAAGCCTCTGTTTTGTGAGAAGGGCTTCTCATATGATTTGTGAATGACCTGTACAGCTTTACTGTAGACATTTTCTCTAGTGAAAATTACGTGACTGAAACTTTGTCATACACCACGCCCACCAAAAGGCTACCCTTGGTAGTAGAAACGCAAGCCTGATAAAGGTGTACTGTACCAGTCAGTGGAAACGAGCCATAACAAAGAAATCCAAAGGCAGTATTGGGTGCCTCGTCATTTTTGTAAAAAAAAAACAAAAAAACACAGCAACACAGATTGATTGCCTACACACCGTAAAATGAAATATGCTCATGTAATACTATACAAACATGAATAAAATACAAACTTTTATTCCCTCTCTACAAAGAGTTAAAGAAAATCTGAAGCTGATTAAGTGTATATTAAGCATTTATGATAGATTTTAAGTGTAATTTATGTATTAGTTATTTGTGATTTGAAATGCAGAAGCATTCACTTGAGATCGGGTATCAGATGTGCACAATCCATATGCACTAGCTGAAAAGCTTGACAGAGCCCCTGCACATAGCTTCAGTTGCTAAGCCACGATTGGTGGATGGTGGTTTTTGGGCGTGGCTTAGCAAAGGGTCAATTGATTTAGCAATTTTGATTATTTGTTTTTGACTAATTTGTAATGCTTAACTGTTGAATACAAAGAAGTTTATTTTATATCTAAAGTGATTCCAAAATCTTTCACAAGTAATTTGAGAGCTTTGCCTTGCATCAACTTTTTTTTTCATATTTACATTGTATATTCTAGTTAGCTCTATGTTGAGACAAAACAAATATACTGATATACAGTAATCAACATATAATGTGAATCAAAGCCTTTTAATTAAAGTTGTCCTAAAGCTATTAAAAAACACACTAGTCTCAGAACAATTTTGAACACTTCAGCTCAGTAATGCAGGCTAGGCGGAATAGTGCTGTTTACTGAGGTTTTTGTTGTTAAACTAAAAAAAAATCTACATTATCGATGCTGTATAAAGCCCTTATGAAACTGAAAAAAAACAATAACATCAATGTTTCACCAGGGGGCTGTTCCAGAAAGCAGGTTATGTGACATACCCGGGTAAGTTTGAGAGTATGTAGGTGGATAACCTCAACTTTGGTTCCAAAATCGGAGGTAACTTCTGGGTATGTTAAGTAGCCATAGCAACTTACTCTCTGAAGATAACCTGCTCCGGAGCAGGTTATGTTCAGAGAGTAAGTTGCTATGTTTTAGAGTTTGTCTGTTTTAGAGAGTTTACTGAGCATTGCATGCTCTTTTGATGGGAATATTTATGGATATGGACACACAAATACAAGTTTTTTCGTTGTGAGAGGGTTATAAGTGCATAGTATTTTTCATAACCAAATTCATAATGTCAATGTATTTAACAAACCTTTTTGAAATCAAATGTGACAAACCCCGGGTCTGCGCTTACCATAAAAAACATTCAGTGCAGCTCTTTGTATTCGCGTCAGGGCATTTTAGGCAACTGTACAATGTGGCAGTAGGACCACCTGTACAGTATGCCTGGCACTGAACTGTTTTTTACACTTTCGTACAGTTCCTTGGTCATAAATCACTGCGTATCATTACACAGAAGATTCAGAGCACGGCAATAGAGTAGTGGACAGTGCGTCGATAAAGAACAACGGAGCGCACAACGGAGTGAGTTCGAATCTCACATAAAGATTGTGAGTTTTTTCTCTCCTTCTGCACCCTCACATTTCTGTATAATATTATAAGTGGCAGCTTTGTCTTTTGTAGGAAAATATATCTATTATTTAAGATGTAGGACGTCGTTCTTATATATATATATACACATTCACGCACACACACCTACATTTTTTAATATAATTTTTTTTCAGGGTTTCTAAATGCTATTGTGTGCATTAATTGCAGCCGATTTTAAAGCTCCATCAGTCACTAAAGGACACTGATAATATAAAATTTGTCCAAAGTATAAGTGTGCAGGTACAACTTAATTTTATATCCTTAATCTTTTGATGTTTCAACTATTAAACTCATTACTGCTTCCACTTACCAGCTCATCACACACCCCACCTCATCACTATGTTGAGGCTAAATGGCTGATTTTCAGGAAATAATGATTCAAGTGTATAATACAAATATAGTAAAAAAAAAAAAAAAAAAACTATAAAGCAAATGTTGCTTAACACAATGTTTATTTTTATTATATTTGTATTATACAATAGAATCATAGGCACTACATTGTTACTTGCTGGAGGACAAAAGATCCCCTTTTCTGCCTTATACGATGACACGTACCTGCAGCCTGACCCAGAGGAAATCTCAGTGACCCAAGCAGACAAAACAGATGGAAGAGTGCTAAAAAAATATATATAATTAGTCAAAAAACTATGTTTACTCAAATAGTTTGGTCTGTTCATTTCTTCATTTCCTGAAATAAAATGAATGATTTTGTACACTGCTTTATACACGCACCTTTAAACGTGTAACATATTTTTCATATACATTTCTCACCTTAAGTTGATGCTCATGTGACTTTATATTTGAAGATGGACCTTATACAGCTACTTTAGAATTTAAATATGTAGATAAAAGATTTTGTGATCCAAGAGTAATATTCAAATATGGAAAAGTGCAGAAAATTCTTACACTGCTTGTTAGTTGAGGCAGAAGGAACTTCGTCTGCATGCAAAATAAAAAGAACCTAAAGCTATCTGACAACAATCACTTACAACAGTGACAGAGTGTGTGGTTTAAGTCAAAAACTCAACCACTGAAAAGCCTTTATTATAGGACACAGCAGTTAGACAGGCCTCTTTCTATTAGCTGCATGTCAGAAAGCATATTCTAGAGTGTTAAATAAAGAGCTCCAGTAATTAAATATTACCTTTTATAATAATGTTTCTGTGTTTAATGACTTTGGACAGAGTTCTAGCTCCAGAAAGATTACAATTTCTATAAGCCTTATTAGTCAATACACATATTGTGGCCTTAAGAAATTAATGGAAGGAAAATTAAATGCATGAATAGTTACACAACATACTCAAAAAGGATGTTAAAGAGTAGTTTAATTTATCATTACAATAAAATGGAGGGTGGCATGTGTAATTTAATGAACTAATAAATTTTCTTATTATTTATTTTTTATTTTCTTATCTATTTCTTATTCTATATTTCTTTCCTTCGTTGAAGCAGATGTGTAATCTCTGTGTTTAAAACCTCTAGCTTCGCCTCTGTAAAGTGCGTTGCCCTTTTTTTCTTACCGTGACTTTCTATGGTGACTCGTGAATTCGGCGATCTACTGAAAATGCCTTCAGGTGTGTGCCGTGCACGCGCATTAACCCGCGGTTATCTTCAGGAGGTTGATTTAACTAACTCTTGTCACCTGTTTTGGAACCAACATACTCGCGGTAAGCAGGTTTTGGGTAAATCAACCGAGAGTTTAGGTTTTAGCAGATGGTAAGTTAACCCAGCTTTCTGGAATACCCCCCAGGAGATTTTAGTGGCTGAACATCACGTCTGTGCATATAAGCCATTCATAACGCAAGACACTTTACATCAGCTTTTGAGGACTAAAATAATTTAAAAACATAAATATACCTGTCTAAAAGATACTTCAGCCATGGTGTCCTCTTTCCTCCAGCTTGCAAAACTCCAATATTACCTCAGGATTTTAAATAGTTTCAATTAAGCATTTGATTTTACCGTGACTGTAATTGTCTTGTGTGCATGTGTCGTGAACGCACAGAACTCATGCAGGCCGACACGCGCTAATGGCAGAAATGTGTGAACGGAGATGTGCAGAAGTCCAATTCTGCATTTGTTCGGAGACAGTTTGAGCTACTTATTGAAATTATGGGAGATGTCAGCCTGACACTAATTCAATTGGATGAACATTTTTTTAAGTCGTATGCCTTACCCAGAATATAAAAATGCATACAATAACATTTAGATCATTTTCTGTATTAATTACTATTGGACTGTGAAGAGACTTTCAACCAGCACAACAAAAAATGCTTCCGAAGACAATCACCTACTGCACCTTTAAGCCTGGTCTGTAAAAATGGAGAAAGAATTTATTTAACACTGCACACATTATTACAAATATGCATGATTAACTCACTTCTGTTATTTGTCCCCTAAGGCTGATGTGTCCTCCCCTGGAAAAAATGTCTGGTTCACCACCAGTCATCTCTGGTGAAGGAGGACAGAGTGCCTCCTTGGCAGATGTCTGTGCAGCTTCAGAGAAGTTGTGTGGCGTTGTTTTAAATTTTAAACTGCCTGGTCCCACAAACAGGTACATCTGCCCGAACTTGTTGGAGAGGGTATGCTTCTGGAGGATGTAACTCACCCCTTCCTCGAATTCTGGGGTTGATCCCTCTTTTTTATTAAGGTAACAGATCACCCCATCAGTAAGAGCGGAAATGGTCTCCGTCTTTGTTTTTGAAATTTCTATTTTCATTCCAATAGTGGAGTAACTCAGTGCTCTTCTGTGAATGCGTGTTGCAACACACAAACATTTCAAAAGGCCTGTGGTTGGTGGTGAAGTTTCCATGCTGCAGAAGAGAGAAAGACAAAGGGTACATGAGAACGTATTTTATTAGTCATTACTCAGAATTATAGTTAAATGCAGTATATTGTGTGTGAAGTGGGATTGTTGGATTTCAAAATGAATGCTTTTATACTGTTTATCAATATGTATTAACAAAAATATGGTTGGGATTGTAAACTAATTCTTTGGAAACACTGCAATAGACTTTTTTTATTAATATTTTTTTAAACAAGACTTTTGGACAGTAGTTTAAATAATTGTTAATCACTGTGCTTTATTAGACCTCAATGTCTTTGTCAGTGCCCTTTATTTTTGTTGGACATTTTAAAATTGTGTGTGTTTTATCTAAGTGTGTGTGTAAACAATCACTTTGAGCCATTGATTTAGCATTGGGCTGTTAATTTACTGGTAAGTAACTTCATAACTACTTGGGAGAATAGATGTCTGAATAACTCTGTTGAGAACCGGGTATTGTG